AGGATCGTTTTAAGAAAATGGCAGACAAGCCCGACATGGGGGAAATCGCCAGCTTCGATAAGGCGAAACTGAAGAAGACGGAGACGCAGGAGAAGAACACCCTGCCGACCAAAGAGAGTGAGTGCGCCCCCGCCCCCGCGCCGCCCAGCCCCCACCCCGTGGACGCTGCTTTGGGCGGCCCCGGGCCCCTCTCTCTTAACAAAGCGCCGTCTCCCAGCCCCAAGCCTGCCTCCAAATCCCCACTCCTCGTGGGTCCTGGTCCACACCAGGTTTGGGGGGGTTGCAGGGTGTCCGTCCTCACACCCCAGGGCCCGCTCTCTGCTCTCCACAGCCATCGAGCAGGAGAAGCGGAGTGAAATCTCCTAAGGACCTGGAGGGTTCCCCACCCCCATCATCTTTGGGACTCCAGTCGTGACGTGGAGAAAAAGCCACCTGCCAGAGGGACACGAGCGACAGACTGCACTGTGAATCCGGACACGCCGCGCCCATGCTACCGGCCTGTGGGTCTCCGAGGGGACCCCCCCTCCCCGCCCCCCTAATCGGACTGCCAAATTCTCCGGTTTGCCCTGGGATACTGTAGACAATTATTTGTATGATTAACGAAATAAAACACACCTCGTGGCATGACTGGCCTGTGTTGAGTCTCGTGGGGTGTGCGTGGGCCGCGCCGCTGCGGCAAAGCCCGGGCGCGGAAGTCGGACTTCCTGCTGCGGGGCGGGAGGGGAGCGCAGACGGCTGGCTCGGCGGGGCCCTTTTAATTTCCACTCCACCTGTTCCTCCGTGAGGTTTCATGAGTATTAATTACCCCGCTTAGTTTTTGCTTCTGCTGCAATCCGTGTAACATGCAACTCCAGTCGTTCTGGAAAATGCTTCTCCAGAAGCGCAGGGCTTGTTTTTGAGAAGCTGTTACAGTCCCACGGTTTCCCCTCGGGCCTCCTCAAAGCTGATTGACGCCGGGGAACCAGTGATTTTAGAAAGTCCGAGGGGAAAAGACAAAATCCGGGATGTTGGGACAGGGCGCGAGGTCACAAAGCCTCCGAGACACTTCTCTCCTGGAACTAAAAAGGGGAGGCATTAGAACAAAAAGGCGGGATCCAGGCGACCAAGAGCAGGGCCATCAGACCTCAAGTAACCAGTATCTGGAAAAGGGGTGCTGTAATGGGGAGCCCGGCTTTAGCCCTGGCTCAGAGCCTTCCACAAAGGGGTTAGCCCTCAGGAAGTGCTGGCTGAGCCGCGTCCTGGACTGGGATCGGCGGGAAGGGTGGGAATGAGGGAGGGGCGGCCCTGGCTGCACAGCCCCACAGGGTCCCACCCTCTGAACCAAAGGGGGAGAGGGGAGGCCAGCCCTAAGGGACCTAGCTGAGGGGGAGGGGAGTGCCTGGGGCTGCAGGGCATGCTGGAGCAGAACAAACAGGCTTGTGACTCCTGAGGGGGAGTTGCATTTTTAAGGAGGGAGGAATGGACAGATTACTTAGGGGTTTGTCCTATTTTTGTCTGACCATAAGAGGCTGGACACTGGGTGAAGCTAATTCAAATGAGGTGCAGTCTAAAATCCAACGGGTGAGACAGGCAGCCATGGCAGACCGGAGTCTGGGGACACCTAGGCTGAGGGAGCCACTGCCTGTTTTGCATAAAGGAGTAATTTGACAGGCCTATGCTTTGGAGGGTAAGTGGTGAGCCTTAGGAGGGGGGAGGGGGTTCTACCCTTTCCTGAGTCTGCTATTGACCAGGCATGGTGCTAGGAACTTTAATTTCAGAAACTCTATTAAGTTGGCAATATGTCCGTTACCCCATTTTATAGATGGGGAAACTCAGGTTCAAAGAGACTAGGGATTTGCTAAAGTCACACGGCTAGTGAGTAGTGAAGCCAGAATTTGGGGCCAAGGGTGTGCTTCTGGAGAGCCTATAGCTTAATGTTGGGAACATCCTGTTGTGTCAAACATTTCATGGAGGTTCACTACTTCAAGCATATTTGTAGTTGACCCTGTTGGGGTCTATTTTTGGGAGGTTAAAGAAAAGGAAACAAGAAATCACTACAGCCTTCGAGCCAGTGGTGAGAAGAACTTCGGAGGAAGATGATGCGTAAGGGGTTTACAATAGAATCAAATAATCCGACTGTTTCGGACTCCACCTGCTCAAGCCTGCCGAATTTGCATAACATGTTGGTTAGCAACTTACGCTTAGTGCTGCACAGATATTCGAATCATTAAAGGAATCTAACCTGTAACAGAAATTACTGAAACAGCCTCCCAGCTCAAAACTATTTCCCCAAGGAGATAAGGAAGGTATGTGCAAAAATCATGACTTTATCAAAAGTCTTACAGGAACTTGGTGACTAGGACCATGGCAACCAGGGTTTGTTGACCAAAAGCGAAATTTCACCATCCCCGCCTCCAACCCTTGCTGGAACCCAGAAGTCTGGACATCAGTCACCTCCTGACCTAAAACCCCTCTCATTTTCTTCTTCCCCATGGCATAAAAGAAGCCTGAATTCTTTACTTTTTCAAGGTGGTTCTTTAGGATTCTAGTCTCTACCATCTTCTTGACTTGCTGGCTTTCCAAATAAAGTCATTTTTCTTGCCCCAACTCCTGTCACTCAACTAGTGGCTGACAACTTAGTAGCTGTTGTGCCTTAGTGGCTGTTGTGCAACAAGCCCCTGGAGCTTTTACTGATTATAGGCTAAGAGTGCTGGCGTGGGGAGGGATTGGGAATGCCACTACAATTTTCAATCAGATGGTCATGAGGGTGGTCAAGACAGGAAGGAGGTGGAGGGGCTGGGGGTTGCAACCAAGACCTAAAGAATGTGATAAGGCTTTGACAAAGAAAGAAAGAATGTGCTGAAGGCCTCTCAGGATGAACAAAAAGCTGGAGTGGAGTTAGTAAGAAGTAGGGAGATGAGGTGTGAGAGGGCAGGAGATGGAGAAGGCAAATCTTGAAGTCCTTGAAACTGTTGCAAGGTTGATTGCTGAGGGGTCCTCCCCCCAACTCCGTAGGTGCCCCTCATGGTCCCTCAGTGTCCTGCCTGGGCACACCACATTTAAGGCCTCTTCTGGAACCCAACCTCCTCTCCAGGACTCCATCTTGGATGTAAATCACAGGCCCTCTTCCCTCAGACCCCACAGACTCCTCAACCCCAATGGACTTACACCAGACAGCAGCTACAGAGCTCCATCTCCTTGTATCTTCAGAAGATTCCCATGACTTTCTCAGCCCCTCCCAAGGAAATCCTCTCTCTTCTGAGGTTGTGAGCACTGATGAGAGCCTTGTTCTTCCTAAGAATTTAAGAAGACATAAGTTAGGAGGAGACCTCCATTGTTTCACTCTAAGACAGTGAGCCAATTGGATGGCACCAGGACAGGTGGGGAAAGGGGATGCGGATAGGCGAGGGGGTGCATTATTTCAGAAATCTTATCATGCCACATTGATTTATAAGGTAGCTCTGTTCTTCCCCAACCTATCCCGGCTCTGGAGCTATATGCAAGTGTGCAGTTCTAGACATGTTAAACCCCAGAAGATAGGACCAGAAATCCAAGCATTGGCCAAGAGAGCCACCTCCCTAGGCCCCATCTGTGATTGATCCCAAGGGATCACATGAGAATCATACTGGAGACAGCACCAGAACCAGCAGTTGGAGCATCAGAGAGCATTGAAGCACCCCGGGCCCACTCTTTCTCTTTTCTCTGCCTCCCCGCCCCCCTTCAGTATGTACCACGTACTGCTCAATGTGCTGGGGAAACAGAGGACACCTCAGGGAGTATGTGGTCCAGAGTAAAACGAGGACCCAACCTCTCTTCCCAACACTTTCCAATCCCCCAGATTGCTCTCCTACCCTTCTACTCTCACCCTCAGGAAAACACCTCTTCTCCTTAGATAATTGGGCTCCCCGCCTTCTCCTGTCAATTCCCCTGAATAAAAACCGCATGCCTGTGTCTCTCCTCTCTACCCTCACTTCACTCCTCACACCAGGTGTGCAGAAAAAACTCTTCTATTTCTCCTTCACTACAACACGCTACTCACAGAATACTCACAGCCCTATCTGGGACTTGCTATTGCTATGGCAGAAGGAAAGAGGAATGGCAGAGCCGTGCAGTGCTTTCCAAGTTCTTCTCAGATGGGGCACTTCCATTCTCGTTACCTGAGCCAAAGCAAATCATAAAGCAAGCCTGACATCAGTTGGGTGAGGCACTGCAAGTCACATGCCATCAGGCCAAGGTGTATAAGTCTGTTATAAGGAAGGCAGGAAATGATGGGGACTTTTAATACAGTTTATCGTATATGTTGAAATGCAAATACATACAATTCTTTGGAAAGTATCTTTATTTTTAATACTCACCCAAGGATATTTTTTAATTGATTTTAGAGAAAGAGGAAGGGGGAGAGAGAGAGAAACATCGATGTGAGAGAGAAACATTGATTGGTTGCCTCCCGTATGCACCCCGATGGGGGATCAAACCCACAACCTAGGTATGTGCCTTGACTGGGAATCAAACTTTTGATGTACGAGACAACACTCCAACCAACTGAGCCACCCAGCCAGGGCAGAAAATTATCTTTCTTTATTTCACTTTTATATTCCATTTAGGGTTTGTATTGAATTATGTTTTTAAAGTATTGTGTGGGGCCCGGCCGGGCGTGGCTCAGCGGTTGAGCGTCAACCTAGAATCCAGGCGACCGGGGTTCGATTCCCGGTCAGGGCACATGCCCGGTTGCAGGCTTGATCAATGACTCTCTCATCATTGATGTTTCTATCTCTCTCTCCCTCTCCTTTCCTCTCTCCGAAATCAATAAAGATATATTTAAAAAAATAAAAATAATAAAGTATTGTGTGGGTAGGTTACATTATCTTTTTTTTCCATTTCAAGAAATAAAATACTTGCTACAAAAGATGTTGTTTCTGAAGGATTGGGAACCGGTGGTCTGATCTGATCGTGGTAATTCCATTACCCTTGCAGTGATTGATATAAGAATAGGTGTGGGTTACAATTCTTCCCAAGCCTGCTAGGGGATTTCTGGGAAGATTGTATTTGCTCTTTGTGAAAGACATAAGGAAAAGTCACACACATCATTGTGTGAGGGTGTGGTACTTGAACCATGACAGTTATCTTGACACCATGAAGGTAAATTCCAACATTCAGAGACTGGTAAAGCTGAAAAATTAAAAGAATCTAAGTACTTGATGAGCTTTTGAGCTGCTGAGTTTTCCTGAAAGTGCCTTCTCTATGAACTTTTTGTCATGTGAAATAATACATTTCCTTGTATTTAAGAAATTTGTAGTTGGGTTTTCTGTTACTTGTACTCAAAAGTATTCTACAATGATCATCTGGAATGAGAAGAGTCTGAGTGCAGAGATACTGGTTAGCAGGATATTTTAATAGTCCAGGTGGGAGGTAATGACTTAAATCAGAGAAGGATCGGTATATAGTGGTCTGCTGGTAAATGTTTAACAACCAGCTCTCAGTTCAGGGTACAGGTGGGTAGGAGTGGATTTGTAGCATTTGCCAATTTCTGTGGTGTAAATATTGCCAATTTCTAGCTGTCTAGCACTTAACAACCAGCTTTACTATCTTCTGAAAATTTTACAATTGGGCTGTTGCAAGCTAGTGCTCTGGCATACCACTGACTTGTG